ATTTATTTATTTATTTATTTATTTATTTAGAGAAAGGATCTCATGATGTTACCTACGCTAGTCTGGAATTACTGGGCTCAAGCAATGCTCCTGCTTCAGGCCCCTAATAGCTGGGACAACACCAAGGCACCATGATCTGGGCTTATTCTTTATATTAAAAAACAACAACAACAAAACCTCTTAAATTCCCTGAAAATCTATGAATTTTATAGGTGTTATAAATACTGACAAAGTTCATCCTTCTGTTAAGTTAGTATATAGCTTCTAGTTCCAATACCCCTAAATAATGTCCAACCTAACAGACTCAGAGATAGATGGTTTCTTGGATTTAAATTTTCCAGGTCAAGTTGCTTATTATTAGATGAGAAAATTGAGATCCAGAGGGTTTAACCAACTTGCCCAGAGTTGCACAACTATTCAGCCAATATTTAATAAGTGATAATTATTTCCAAATCATGGTGGGCACCAGAGGAGGATAATAGGATCACTTGAGGAGTGTGCAGTGTCCCAGAGAGCACAAAATGAATGCACAGAAAAGAACAGAAGAGATGACGGTTCTCAGGAGCCAAAAAGATTCCCAAGTGTCTGAGAGTAAGAAAATTAACTAACAGGAGCAGTTTGGGGCCGGTGGTTTGGCTCAGAGGTACAGTGTGTTCTCAGCATGCCAGAGGCCCTGGATTCAATGCCTGGTACCCCAAACAAGAACCAAAATGAGTTTCCATTGGGGCAAGGCCTGGCCACCTCCCAGGCAGGATTGCCTCCTCACCCAGTGTTTCTGAAGCTCTCTGTTCGAGTCTCTTCAAAGGGTACTTACCACACAGTGTTTACAGGGCTGTTGCAACACTGGGCTATACTAAGAGAAACTGTCCTGAAGTCTGGTACAACACATTGCCAACTGCTTTATGGGTCCCTGGAGCTTAGCTCAACGGCTTGCCAAACAGGACTCATTAGATTCAGTAAATAATTAAGCCAACCAGTGAGAGTGTAGGAATGAATGCGGGATGAATGAAGAGGAGGAGGCAGGATTCAGCTGGTGTTTACAGCCTCCACTGATTGGCAGGAGAATCTGGGAAATGATGTAGGGTGGGGGCAGGGTGAACAGAGAAAACGGAAGAGACGTCTCCCCTCCCCTAGCACTCCTCACTGGTTAAAGTTGCTGGAATTTTTCTCAGTTTTTTACAAAGTCAAATATATCATATCGGGAAAATCTGGCCAGTTGCATACACACAAGTTTTTATTATGTGCCTCTTCATTCTTTCTTACTTTTGCAAAAAACAACTTGGCACCAAAGAATGGCCACTTCCTGGCTACTGTCAAATAAATGCGCACACAGTCGGCAGCGCTGTGTCCCCGGAGGGCCATCCATCTGGTAGAGAGTCTCTGGTAAAGCTGCCTAAAATGAAGAAAGGGCAAAACAAGACACAAAGGCAAAAACATAAGCATCATGTCACCCTTCACGCTGGAAGCTCTGCTTTCAGCCAATTCCAGCTCCTCACTGTCCACCCCTCAGCTGGCCTTCCAGGAGAACATTCTCCAAATTCTCCCACAACGTTAGTGAGCAACACAGCCCAGCAGGCACACCTTAATCATCTGTACGGCTAACACCAAACCTTGGTGTTTGTCAGGAAATTTCTCCTGAGAATGAATATTTGTTTATTTATTTATTTATTTATTTACTTATTTATTGTGTATGAGTGTTATGCCTTTATGTATGTAAGTGTGCCCATATCATGCAATGCCTGTGGAGGACAGAAAAGAGCATCTGATCCTTTGGAACTGGAGTTCCAGTTAGCTGCCACGTGGGTGCTTGGATTTGAACCCAAGTCTTCTACAAGAACAGCCAGTGCTCTTAACCACTGAGCCATCTCTCCAGCCCCATTCTCCCGAGAATATTTTCATTGTTAAAGAAAAGTACAAGACAAGCAGTACAGTCCATCTGGTTCAGCTTGGAGAAATGTTGCATGTATTTCTTCTCAGACTGAATCACAGAGGCAGCCATGTCTATGGCACAGGTGAAAGACTGATAGAAATGATTGTAATTTGGAAAACTTTTTGTAACTAGATTTACCTCTAGTTTTTTATCTAACCAGCACTTCTTTACATGCTTTCTAAAACTGAAAGACCAACTTAGTTGAGTTTAATTAAGAACTTTATATTAGTTGGGCATGGTGGCACATGCCTTTAATCCCGGTACTCTAGAGGCAGAGGCAGTCAGATCTCTGTGAGTTTAGGTACAGCCTGGTCTACATAGCAAATGCCAGGCCAGTTAGGACTACATAGTGAGACCCTGTCTCAAAAACAAAACCTCTTATATTGAAAAATCTTGCAAAAACATAAGTTTATTTTTATTTCAGCTTGTTTATAATGGAATATCATTGAAGGAGATGGGCTAAAATATTTTTTTTCTAGCAAATTGTTCATAAAATTAAACATCTTTCAGACCATTTTTTCCTCTTCTTTATTACCAGGATTAATTCAGGGTAAGATCAGATGGAAAAGATCTAAATTAAGGTAGTTTTTACTTTAAAATTTTGCTTTAATGGTGGGCATGTGAGTATACACCTACAATCCCAGCCTCAGGAGGCAGAGGCAAGAGGATCACAGTTCAAGGTCATCCCCAGCTACATACCAGGTTTGAGACCAGCCTGGGCTACATGAGACTCTGTCTCAAAAAAAGACAAAGGCTGGGCATGGTGGCACACGCCTTTAATCACAGCACTTGGGAGGCAGAGGCAGGCGGATCTTTGTGAGTTCAAGGCCAGCCTGGTCTACATAGTGAGTTCCAGGCCAGCTGGGACTACAGGGAGACCCTGTCTAAAAAAAAAAAGGCAAAAAAAGAGAAAAATTTTTTTAACATCATCATATAATATTTATTTCAAGCATCATATCATATGTGACAAATAGATTCTAAAGTTTCTGAAACCATTTTAAATAAAAATATATAAAACTGCCTGGTACACATTAGAATTAAAAACTCTCAAGGAAAGATATGAATAGAAAAATTTACTAAAATCCTAAAGTAATTTTACCCTCTAAAGAGCTAAAAATATCTTCTTACCTTAACTGCTCTTCAGAACAGCCATCTCTGTACCTTTTAGGGTAAAATTTCTCTATGACTTGTTTGAGAGTTTGATTTGCTTTGTACTGGTTAGTAACTTGCCCCGCTGGAGTTGAGAAAGGTCTTTCAAAATCCCCAATCTCCACCTGATCAGAAATCCCCAAAAGAGAAAACAAAGGATAGTGAAAAGAGTTTTATAAAAGAAAATCAGTTTTGCTTTTTCTAAACATTCTTTTTCTTTTTGAATATGTAAAACACAAGTCTACTTGTCATGACGGTATGGCTGTGGAATTTATACCTGTATGTATGAGCTATTATCTTAAATATATATTTCATTTGAATTCTAACAAAGGAAAAAAAATCTATAACCTAAACATTCCACTTCCATTTGCACACTGAACTCTTCTCTTGTTTCTTGCTCTGTTGCTGTGTTAAAATACCAACATGAGGGGAAGGGCTTATTTTAGCTCACATCCATGTTCTAGTCCATCACAGTGGGGAAGCCACAGCGGGGAAACTTGAGGGAGCTTGAGGGAGCCGGTCATATCACATCCAGAATCAGGAACAGAGAGTGATGAATGAATGTATGCTTTCTTTGGACTACGGACGTAATGTGATCAGTATTGTGGAACTGTGAGCCAAATAAGACCTCTCTCCCTTAAGATACTTTTGTCAAAGTATTTCATCACAGCAACAGAAAAGAAAACAAGTGGTATTTGTTATAGGAAACAACCCAATTATTGAGTATAATAGGATAATTTTTCTTTCTGAGGTACTATTTTAATTGTTAATAAATAAATTGAAGTCAAGATTAAAATAAAAGGTGAGAAAAGTTATAAAGCATTACAAAATGTTGCAATAATATTAGCTGGACTTTTTAAGAGTCTCTTCTGCATGGGATGGTAGCAAGGACTATATGCTTATTCTTCCTAGATTTTTCTCTATAAATGTTTCTGTCATCAGCCATTCATCTTATTAGTTGATTATTCTTAGAAATATAGCCCCACATTTCCCTCTGTCCCTTGATGAAAGGATGTTTAAAACCTTTACTTACAGGCCACACAGAAGCCATCACTATCACCCATTCACCCACTCATCTGCCCATCACTATATTCAGATCCCATTATAAGTCTGGTACTATGCTAAATGATGTGAGGACGAAAAGCTAACATAGTTTCCACCCCAATGAGCTTACCATCTGGAAGGGGAGGCTGAGGCACAAACAAATACTGTGACTAAGTGCCTTGTATAGGGTACCAAAGGTTGTTCAAGAAGGAAGATGGGATGGGGGATATCTGGATGAATGTCCTACACAGCACTTCACAACAAGCAGATGGAGGTCCATCAAGCCCAGGAGGTCTTACAGGAAGCTCCCAGTCACCATCTTAAAGGTTCTCCTGCTTCCTGTTAAGCTGTCACACAACCAGCCTTGAGGTTCTGAGCCCAATGCCCCTTTTCTTTTCTAGTTCATAAGCTCATGGGTTGCTGTCTGAACTCCTCACCTGAGTTTCTGCCCTTCCTGCCTATTCATCTTTATAGGTTCTTTGATTCTACTCCTACTTGTTGATTTCTTGGAATCACTTTGTTCTTCAGCTCCCATTTCTCATTTTTTCTTGACTTCTAATGGTCCCCATCTTCTTCACAGTCAAGTATGATCCCTAATGTCCCCACAAATAAAAACTGTCTACCCAACTGTGGTGGTTTGAATGAGAATGTCCCCTATAGGCTCCAAGTATTTGGACACTTGGTCCCAGTTCATGGTACTGTTTGGGGAGGTCATGGAACCTTTAGAAGGTGTGGCCATGTTGGAGGAAGCATGTCAATGGGGGGGGGGGTTGAGAGTTTCTTAAGCCTTGCCAGATTTCCAGTTTCACTCTGCTTTCTGTGCCTGCCTGAAGATGTGTTTGGTTTCTGCCACCTCTGGCGGCATGCCTCCCTGCCATAATGGACACTTACTGTCTGGACCCATTGCCTTGGTCATGGTCTTTTATCATAGCAACAGAAAAGTAACTAATATACCAACCACATTCAAAACCTTCCCCCAGAGCAAGCTATGCATTGTCCCTGCCCATCAGTTAGCTCTCACACAGTTATCTGTAAAACTTAGACCAGGCCCTAACCTCTAAGGTAGACAAAAAATAGTTATGAAAGTAGTAGACCATTAAGGGCAGCCTACCTCTTAGGGAAGCCTTTTGTGGCATTTTCAAGTTCAGTGTCTGGTGCCCAACAAACCATATGGCATAGAATAAACACAATTAGTGTTTGGAGACAGTCAACTCAAGATAACTCCCAACAGGCCTATACAAACATGTGCTTTACTAAATATTATAATTAGGGGATCTGCTCCAAGAATTTCCTCATTAACTTAGAATATTAGGTGAGTAAAGGCACTTGCTGCTAAGCCTGATAACCTGAATTCCATCCCTGGGACCCCACATGGTGCAAACACACACACACACACACACACATACACACACACACACACACACACACACACACACACACACATACACTGGACATCAAGGACCACCAGACAATTAAATCTGCAATAGAAATAATTCATCTATAGTGCTTGGTTTCTTTTTGTTTTATCTTCATAAAAATGCAGAGGTGAGGGCTGGAGAAATGGCTTAGTGGTTAAGAGCACTGGCTACTCTTCCAGAGGACCAGGGTTTGGTTCCCAGCACCCACATGGCAGCTAACAACCATTGTAACTCCAGTTCTAAGGGATATAATGCCCTCTTCTGGTCTCTGCAGGCATTGCACACACATGGTGCATTTGCACACATGCAGGCAAAAAAAATTCATACACATAACATAAAAATAAAAATTTAAATATGCATTCTTTTTCCTGTCCAGTCACTGCCCCAGCAGCGTATTCAATAAACCTGTTTCCTTCCCAAAACAAAGTGCTCTGAGGAAGGAGAGAAGCATTATTTAATTTTCCTTACATAAATAGATATATTATTTTTTAAGGTTATTTATATGCTCAGAATTTTCATAGTGAGTGGTCTTACCTCTGTGACCCTTCTTCAAATAAAAAAAATGTTAGAAGTATATACAGAGAAGATTATTATGTTTCTTAGAGAAGCTTTCTGGACAAAATTAAGAGTTAAAGTAAGAAGATAAATCTTGGTTAAAAAACAAGAGTGATTTTCATAGAGAACTTATACTTTTGGAGGACTGATCCCTGGAATGGCAAGTGGCAGTGATCATTTCTAACTCCATCACCTAGAAAGCAAGAGTCTTTGTCCCTTTTCCTCCACCTTTACCATTTGTAGAAAATATACTGGTGTAGCATAAATGACCTTTAAATGTTCTAAAAATAAGCTAAATTACTAAGTACCTGCTCTTTCAAGAACACTTAGGGAGGGCTGCTCTTGGGTAAGGCTGTGCTAGGCAAGAAGAGGGGCGGGAACAGCCCTGGTCCTTGGGGAGGCCTCAGCCAATGATACAAAGCAAAAATAAGGTAATTACTGAGGTCAGGACAGCAACATGTAGGTATAGAACATTGCAGAAAACCCCTGAGGGCCATCTGACCCACCCAGGGAGGATTAAGAAAGGTTTCCTGGATAACTGACACCTGTGAGGAAAACGAAAGGACAAGATGAAGTTAGTACGCAGGTGAAAGCGCAGGGGCAGAGCTGTTCCAGACACATGGGACAAATCAATAAAATCAGTAAAGCCTGAAAAGGAGAAGGGGCCATAGGCAAGGGAGGAGCTTGGTAGAAACCCACAGTTTATAATTTGCTGGAGCATAAGGTTCAAGGTAGGGAGTGTTAAGGGATGCTGGGGCAGCAGAGGCAGCAGCCAGGGTTCAGATTATGAATGACCCCGTATGTGAATGAGGAAATGACATTTATCTTCACTCTAGTGTCTTCTCAGATACTAGTGCTGTATAAATGAGTCTTCATGAACTAATGACACTGTGCTATCTTCCAGGTCTGAAGAAAACAGCAGGTTCTACTTCATGCACTGCTTTTCCACTTAACCACCATCCTGGCTGGAAGTTTAAACAGTCACACCCATGTAGATATCCAACTGATAGGTCTAGAAGTCTCAACTGACAGCCAGCATCAGCCCACAGACGTAAATGATTCCAGCCCTCACATGGATCCACCTCAGGCTGGTCCTCAAGCGAAGCCAGGTGATGCCACACGAAGTCGAGACTAAACGCCTTTGACATGTCTGCCCACATTACTGTCTAAGAGACTGAGTTTTGGAGTTATTTTTGTTGTTGTTTCTGTTGCTGTGTTTTTTTTTCTGTTTTGTTTAGCTTTGAGACAGGGTCTCACTAGGTAAATATCCTTGGTTGACCTGGAACGTGCTATGTAGCCCAAGTTGGTCTTAAATTTGTGATCCTCCTACCTCTGCTGCCCAGTGCTAGCACTGTACGCTACAGGCATGCATTACCACACTCAGCTTGAAGTCATTTGTTAGCAATGGGTAACTGAAAAAATCCTTCTAGCATCTATGTGAAGGATAAATTTGGAGGGGACAACACCAGAGAGAGCCACGTGGCTAGAAGCCGGTCAGGATGTGAAGCAGGTCTGAACCACAGCTGTGGTAGTTAGAACAGAGAGTGACGAGCAGGGGACATACCTATGAGTCACAAGTGGCAGGATGAGGCGATCGGGAGGAAAGAGAGCGGGAAAAGGAAGAGGCAGTGGGATAGCTGGATTTGAAACTCCCCTGGTGGACTATGGACAGTATCACAATGAAGATGCATGGTGTGAAGAAAGAGGAAGAGGGCTAGTATAATCCAATAGCTGAATTTAAGGAGTTCATTAGATAGGCGTGAGCTAGACTGAAGAGACTTGGGATTCATTGCCCTGGGTGGTGGATAAAGAATGAAGGGGACACCCTGGGATGATGTGGAGAGTAAGAAGCCACGGACTGGAGACCCTGGGGACCTAAGTATCTGTCCAATGGCATTTCATACAGATGCTTTGATATTTATTCCCCTTGATTATCTTAGGCAAAGAGTCAGGTGTGCTGGAGACCACAGGTTGCCTCTTACAACCATTCTCTTCATCTTGAGTAAAAAGGACCTTTAATGTATCTGGGCACACTGCTGCCAGCTGAGGTCACATCTCAGGCTCCTTTGCAGGCAGGCAAGATCACATGCTTAAGTTCTAACCAGAGGCTTACATGGAAGGGTCTGTGTAAGTTCTGAGATATTTTCCCAAAGCCAGGAGGGCATGTTCTTCTTCAGTGCTTCTCTCATCCTGACTCCAGCAACATGGCATGCTGAGTTCCAGAAGAACTCCAGGACCCGGGCTGACAGAACGGACAGCAGGATAAAGCCTTGCCAGCTTTCTAGAGGCACTGGGATAGATGAAATGTAAAATTGGAGACAGATTGGATTTAGTAAGTTTTTTTTTTCCAGAGCTTCCAGGAGTATTTACAGAGTACATTGTCTAATTTTATCTTATTTTTAGCTCCATTATTTTGTATCTTAAACAGTACAGTTTTTCTTTTCTTTTCTTTTTTTTTTTTTTTTTTTTTTTTTTTGATAGAGTCTCAATATTTAGCCCAGCCTGGTTTTGAACTCATGATCTTCCTGCCTCAGTCTCCCAAGTGCTGGGACACAGGTACATATTCATCATGCTCAGTATAAAACGTGTTTCTATTTGATTAATTCAAGATTCATTTGCATATGGGTGTTTTCTTTAAAAAGCCCAAACTTAGTCCCAATTGATGCAAAAGATAAACCAAAGAAAGTATTCTAGATCTGTCCAGGACCTGTTCCTGTTAGATTACCTACTGATTTCAGCATGACCTCCTCAGCCCAACCGTTACACACTCAGATTTCCTCCATTAAATACAAAGCCTAGAACAACATGTTCAAAAGAGTTAAATAAATTTCCCTGTGTGGAATTTAGCCTCATTCTATGCCACCGCAATTATTAGGAGTGAGTGTCAAACTGTAATTACAATGCCTGCAATTATTAAGGTCCCATCAGAGCAAAACAAATAAAAGACTTACTGAAAGTATACTGTTTTACTGAATTTAATTGAATGAAGCCATTAGTACTTTACCATTACCATAAATTATTTTACACAACATGGAAGTTACCTGAGCTAAAAGAACAGCCATTTCTAGGGCCAGATCCTTGTTCAGAGGGAAAAGGCCATTTATTATTTGCTCATTTGTCTGATACATCAACAGCAACTTTTCTCTGTCAGTCTCTCCACGAGCTTGCATTGAGAAATACAGTCTGTGAAAAAAAAAAAAGAGGAAATTTCTCACGATACTTTTCTTTTTCAATTAAAAATTTTTACATGTGTGCATATACCTCTGGGTATGCTACAGTGTGTGTGGAGGTCAGAGGTCAATCTGAAGGGTTGGTCCTCTCCTTCCACCATATGGGTTTCAAGGATTAGAGTCAGGTCATTTGGCTTGGTGGCAAGTGGCCTTATCCGCTGAGGCTTCTCACCACCTTTTTTCTGTTCTCCATGATGGGGACAGAACTCAAGGCCTGGCACATGCTAGGTAAGTGCTCCACCACAGAGCTACACCACCTTCTGCCAGTGATGGTTTTACAAAGGAAGACAACAAAGTCCAAGCTGTGTACTTTAGCGCAATTCTCTATGTGGTAAAAACTTAGACTATGACCATCTGTTTCTATTCCATTTATCATTCTCTGGAAAATGAGGGACAAACTGCTTTGAAGTGGAGGAGCCCCTCTTATGCAATTTTTTAAAAATGTCCTGAAGTACTAAGTCCTTAAGTGTTACCAAGGAAAGGCCTAAGACACTGAGACACATTAAATTTGTCCTTGTAAGGAGTGCAGGATGTAACTAATTCTTCATTTCAATGAGCTGTATAAACCCAATTATCGGAACACAATCTTTTTTCAGCATCTTGGACACACTAAAGAATAGGAAATGAGGGTTTCAATTAAAAAAAAAATCAACCCAATCAACATCCAATAAGGTGGGAGAGGAGGCTTTTCCATAGATATCTAAAAGATAATATCCATACATTCAAATTTGACTTTTTGTCCACATGCAGATTAGCAGCTTTAGGAACTCAAAAATTAACACATTCTCTTATTACGTGTAGCAACACGAGATGGATTTTTGTTTGTTTTGAGATGGGGTGTCACAGTGCTGAGGCTGGTCTTTGGGCTCAAGTGATCCTCCTACAGGCGTGCTCCATCATGCCTGGCCTGATGTGGCTTTTGCTTGTCTGGGAGTCCTTTAGTAAATCAGTGACCTTGTTTATTTACTCACTGTGCTGATTATTTATATGTGGGACTTGTTTGCCTTTGGCTTCAGATAAGGCACAGGTGTTGGGGATGTTCGAAATGCTCTGACAACAGGACAGGTAAACAATGTCCTGACATGTCTGAATGCTGTCATGACAGCACAGTGGCTAGAAAGAGCGATGTGGATGCAGCAGCTGTTAGGCATCTGCCCAACTGGCTATTCCTTGGGGTTTCTGACATTTTCCAACCTATACACCAGGGGAAAGGGCAAACCTCTATCTCTCCCTGAACAGTAGGAAAGTAGAGGGCAGCAGGTTGAAATCTGCCCACAATTCTCATCATTCTTTCTGTCAAGCTCAAATTTTACACAGAGCTCATTTTCTTCCCTTGAAGTTAGGAACTATGCTATTGGTTCCTGTGATCCACACGGGTCTAGCAAAGTATTGCATAATACCCGGAGAGTCTAAATACATCATAAATGGTAATCTACCTGGAGGAAGAAAAAGACCCAAATACACATGTCTACAGAACAGAGGAGCTAAAGTGTGTTTTTTCTGATTTCTGATACACCAACAAAATTGAACATGGGAATTTAACAAAGTAGGGAAAACAATCCCAGGCATGTACAGGTCAGGACTCCCGTATACAGGAAGCAGGGGTTCAGACCTTGAGGGGAAACAATGAGGGCTCCAACAGCTAGACAAGGCTTTGGAGAACAAGGAAAGCATCACAAAGATGACCAAGAACTCTGAAAAACAGACCAGGAAGCCTAGTTTGGCATGGTAGTACACATCTGGGGTCCCTGCACTCAGGGGAAACACAAATTCAAAGCCAGTCTGGGCTACACAGTCAGGCCCTATCTTCAAAGAAAGTTTTGGTTCTGGAATCTTTAAAATGTGAACATCACTAGAAGAAATGGGATAAGCTACATGACCTGCCAAGACCCTTTTCACCTTAGAAGCCAATGGATACAGGTGCTCTTATGTTGGCTAAAGGTGGTGGAGATAGGAATACTAAACTATGTTCCAGAAAATAACACTACAAAGTGTTACTGAAAATAATCTGATTTCAAGGAGGGGCAAGGCAGAGTTGTTCCCTGCAAGGAAGGACCCTTGCCAGTTTTGTTTTGTTAAAAACATGCCTTGGGGCTAGAGAGATGGCTCAGCATTAAGAGCATTGGCTGCTCTTGCAGAGAGAGAGAGACCTGGGTTTGATTCTCAGCACCCACATGGTGGCTAACAACCCTTTTCTGACCTCCACAGGCATTGCAGGACATGGGTGCACTTACACACATGCAGGCAATATACTCATACACATAAAATAAAAATAATAAATAAATAATATTAAAAACACACCTCATCTTTTGCAATTCAAGCACACAGTAAGAAAGCAAATTAAGTAAGAACCTTTCATATGAGCAGAATTCAAACACTAGCTTCCAAATCATTGTGTATGAAAGTGAGATCAAAGTCTATTAATTAGATCTTTAATCCCTGAGTTTAAATAATTAAAATCCCACAACTTGCTAAATATAAATTTAAGATTCCATGATGAAAGAGAATCGGTATTTTAGTTGCATGATTACTGTGTCACTTGGCAGATGAAGAATCAGATCCTTGGCTGTGTGACAGGTCACAGCCAGTTCCCCTCCTGACTGTGTCACTGGAAATTAGGGTTCCTTGTCTAAGCTGTTTATACCATATGCAAAGCATGGCCATATTTAGAAATATCATACTCTCTCTAGCCACAGCTCTCTAGCCATTGCAGACTGTGTTAAAAATTAAACCTCTGAGCTGAGTTGAATTGTTTTCTAAACAAAACAAAACAAGGCAGTCTTCATTATGTGTTATTATCTCTCTTGGTCTTTTCTAGTGGCATAGTCTTAGAGTCAGGATTTTTATCTGCAGGTCTTTCAAACCACCTCTGTCTATTTCTACCCAATTTAATTTTGGCTTCAATTTATAGGCACCATAGCCATAACTGGTATGTGTTAAGCAATCATAAGCTACTCATTATTAGAATTGTCTTTCCATTTTTTTCCAACAAAACCAAATGGGAATTTCTGAATTTCTATATAACCATATATGACCAGTCAGGTCCAGGCACTAGCTCCTCTCACAAGGAGATCAGCAGATGGAGGCAGAAAAAATAAGACCCCTTCATATTGGTGCATCTCAAAATTTAGGGTGTTTAAGAATTCTCTGGAATGCTGCTAAAACAGATTTCCTGGGGCTTCAACTCTAGAAATTCAGATTCAGCAAGTCTGAAGTAGAGCCTCAAATCACTTCATTTTCATTTCCATGTAATCTGAAGGCTATGGGTACAGGGTCCACACTTCGAGAGATCCAGCATGCAACAGAACTAAAACTATCACTTGAAAGGTCCATATATTTTAGTTTGCTGCTCTTGCCAGTCACTAAAGGACCATAGATGAAGTTTGCCATCAACAGAAATAGGTTTCTACAGCAGTAGAACTGTTAGGGTATGATTTTAATACGCCCATGTGCCCCCACAACCTCAATTCACCTCAATAAACTTATAGAAGGGCCCCTTTCTACTCCCAGGAATAAGTCATTTATCAGCCTGTACTGCGTGGTTGGTGCTAGACAGATAACGCTGTCTATGAATCACTCAGGGGTAAAATCATCCTCCATTCCTAAAATGGAGTCTATAGCTGCTTGTAAAATAGAGACTCCTAACAGCCAGGTGTGGTGGTACACACCTTTAATCCCAGCACTCAGGAGGCACAGGTGGGCAGATCTCTGTGAGATTGAGGCCAGGTTGGTCTCAATAGTGAGTTCCAGGTGAGTTGAGGCTACAGGGAGCCCTGTCTCAAAAAGACCAAACAAATAGCAACAAAAACCAAACAACAACAACAACAACAAAATAAGGGTCTCCTAGCCAAGTCATAGTCTGAAATGCCATTGTTTTATACAATATGAAATAACTCAGAGAAGGGCAAAGCTTGACCTTAACTATAACCTACTCACTTTCCATTATGCACACAATGCTGTTGCTCTTTAGGAATGTATGATCTAAGACTTTGGATACTAATACTTCATGTCACCTCATGACTCAGAAGACTCGCAAATTGCAGCTCATGAGCTCCTGAATGAGGAGGCTTCAATGGTTCACAACCAGCACTGGTCCAGATAAAATGTTCAAGAAGGAGGTGGCTCTCAGTGGCTGAGTGTGTGAGGTATAGTCCAAAACATGACTTCCTCACTTTACCCACACTCCTACTGATGGATATTTGTCTTCCCCTAATGTTTCACTATTCTAAAAATATAGAAAGAAGGGACTGGGCCCTGCTGGAATGCTTTGTCCAATTATGTGGATGTTTCTGCAGGATAAATTATTAGGAAAAGAAATACTCATCAAGCAAGATCAAAGTTGCTATTTCCTTTATGCTATACAATGCTTTTCCTTCTTACATTCCAATTTTAAGTCTCTGAACATCTTCCAAAAGCAATTTCTCAAAGAATTCAACACTATGCCAGAAATTCCACCAGACTCTTGGCCTGACATCTTCTACATTAACTTATTAGCTATAAGATTCAAATAAAACTAGAAAAATATCTTTATCTTGGTACAGTTAATGTCAGCTGGTCAGTTACCTTCTGCTAATAGAGGGAAGAAAAGAAAATATTTGAAAAAGAAAGAAAATCAGGTTTCTAGCCACATGCCAAAGTGTATTATAATTTAATCTGATGAGGTTTGTGCTCCAGTGCCACAAATCAAGCCTTGTCTCGATTCTTGAAACAGGTTGGGAGTCTCCCTCCTAGCCTCTGAACTTCCTTTCAGATCCACTTTGAAGTTCCCATTCCAAGCCCCTCTCTGATCTTGGCATAAGCATCATTTCCTCAAAGGAACCTCCAGCCATCTCTAGACAAGGCTCAGGTTATATGCTCTCACACTGCCATGATCACAGTGCCCAAGATCAGGGACTGGGTCTATGTCTTTATTACCATTTACCCTGGGCAGGTAGCTAAGTAACTGGCTTATAGATGAAGGCCAAGAAAGAAAGAAAAAAAAGGAGGGGGTGGCTCTGGTATAATGAGAATTAGTAACAAAATCTTATACGATAGTTTCTTCCTACAGAACAGCGTTATTATTTACAGAAAAATAAGCATCCAAGTAAACATAACTTTCAAGCCTAGTGACTAGGAAACTGAATTGCAGGTGCATGATTTGAACACAGCTCTCTGCTCCTACTCTAGCATTTGGATCCAGCATTCCGCACCTGTTTTTGTAAGTCAGACGAACAGTTCTTGTGCCTTCACACTTCCCAGGCTGTTGTTCTTTAGAAGCCTGCTCCCACTTAGAAATAATGTCACAAATCTAGAAAGAAAATAGAAATCTGAGAAAGATCTGCAGGACTTTAAAAATCATTATTATTTTAAAGGTAAGTGAATCTATATAGACTGAAAATTTTCAGTTAATAGGAACAAACCAAATGCACAAAAGTCCTTTGCTGTTAGTGTCTGTGGCTCCAAGCATAGGATTCAATTATAAGTTGTTCTTTGGCCCACTTGTCAAATTGGACACACATTAACTTTGGACTGTGGCCATGAATTTTTTACTCAGAAGGGAACCTTAATGCAGGACTTCATGAGACTGGGAACCAGAAGATTCCAGATTTTAATGATTCGGTCACCAAGAAGCAATTTGTCACCTTGGAATAACATGCTACCCCCAGGAAATCTGAGCTATAAGGAATTTCTAGATCTAGTGTTAGCTGTTTGGTGTAAGGAAAAATTTTTCCTTAAGTAGACTGTTTCTCTAAGGTCCCATGGTTCAATAATTCTCTTTTTATTTATTTTGGTTTTTTGAGACAGGGTCTCCCTGTAGCCCCAGTTGGCTTGGAACTTGCTATGTAGACCAGGCTGGCATCGATCTCACAGAGATCCTTCTGCCTCTGTTTCCCCAGTGCCGAGATTAAAGGCATCTGCCACGGAAACTTTATTTTTGATTTTTTGAAATAGGGTCTCCTGTTGGCCTGGAACTTGCTATGTAGATCAGGCTGGCCTCAATCTTTCTGTTCCCCTCTTAACACAAAGTATGTATGCATACAGACCAGACTGCATAGTAAGAACTTCCATGGCTTTATCAAACCCCAGCAACTTTTTTATTGTGATGATCAGATTTCTTAACTTTTTGGAAAATTCCTGAACTAAATTTGCAAAGACCAATGAATAGCTAGCTTTCTGTTTGCTTGGTTTGGTGCCTTTATTTTATTTTATTTTACTTTTAAAATTGTATTTATTATTTTATGTGTATGCATGCATTGCCTTCATGTGGGTAAGTGCACCTCTGTAATGCAATGCCCAAGGAGGTCAGAAGAGGCTGTCAAATCCCCTGGAAATGGAGTTACGGACAGTTGTTAGCTGCCATGTGGGTGCTGGGATTCGAACCCGGGTCTCCTGCAAGAACAACCAGTGTTCTTAACCGCTGAGCCATCTCTCCAGCCCTGGTTTGGCTCTTTTAAAGAACTTAGTTTCACCTTGATGTTTCCTTGAAGACAATGCTCTAAGTCTCTGCCAGAAGGGTCATCAGTGAACAATGCGAATCCCGACTGTGCCGGCTTCCTCATTCCTGTGTCCTGATTCAAAGTATTCAAAAATTCTTCCACTGTGGTGGAGGCATCAAACCCAACTACCTATACAGAAACAACAAAATGGTTCTCATAATGAAAAACATATATTTCAAACAGATTCAGGCAAAACAGGGCATACTTGGTGCATGTAACTGTAACTTGTTTCTCTGGGTGCTAGAGAAAATGAACAAGGTTGCTTCAGTAGTGAGCTTTCTGTAAGAACTTAGAAATTTTAGCTGTAGCCAAGAGACATGAATTCAGAACAGAAAGATCACTTGACAGCTGTAAATATCTTGCAGAGCCAGGCATGGTGATGCACGCCATTAATCCCAGCACTCAGGATGCAGAGGCAGGTGGATCTTTGCAAGTTCAAAACCAGCCTAGTCTACATAGTGAGTTCCACATCAGCCAGAGCTACACAGTCAGACCTTGTCTCAAAAATCAAACAAAAATAAATATTGTTCAGAGATATTAATTAGGGTTATCCATTAGGTGTAAACAGAAATATGCAATATGCAATCTTTATGCATATGAAATAAAGAATATCCATTTAAATAAACACCTTTATGTATTTAATGTTTATTTCATTTTTTAATATTTTATTTATTTTTATTTTATGTGTATGAGTGTATTGCCTGCATATAGGTAAGTGCACCCATGTCATGCAATGCCCGCGAGGACAGAAGAGGCCGTTGGATTCCCTGGAACTGGAGTTACAGACAGTTGTTAGCTGCCGTGTGGGTGCTGGGACTCAAACGCGGGCCTTCTGCAAGAACAACCAGTGTTCTTGACCGTTGAGCCATCTCTCCAGCCCTAATGTTTATTTCTTTTAAAAACTTTTCATCATTTATCTATTTTACTTTGTGTGTAGATGTATGTGAATGGGCCTCATGTGCTATGTTGAGTGTGTGGTAGTCAGAGGACAACTTGTGGGAGTCAGTTCTCTTCTTTTACCAAGTGGGTTCTGGGGATGGAACTCAAATTGTCAAGCTTGGCAGCAAGTTCCTTTACCCACTGAGCAATCTCCCAGGCCCTAATGTTCCTTTCTTTACTTAACAGGCAGTTACGTATTTGAATTCAGTGATGAAAGGTTTAATGGTACCAAGAGTAACTGGTAGCTTTACAGTCCATTTCTTTCGGGTAACAAGTAAGCACCTAGACTGGAGAATTGAGAGAGCCTAGGGAAGTGTTTCCAGAAATTTGCTGAGATTTAAAGATTCCAAAAGAGATAAGAAATGTGCCTATCCCAGTGTTGTTCATTTGTTCCTAACCTGCAGGTCTGTTGATGGGGAAAAACTTGACTGAAGTATTTTCAGATTTGTTCAGTATGGATTTGTTTTCAGTGTGACTCCTCTTTGGCAAAACTGTCTCCAAACTCAGCTGTGTTGTAGATCTTCGCAGGCTGACTCACCTGATAGATCCCATTCATGAAGTGCACTGGTATACTGAAGGGCAGAGAATGATGATAAGGGTTTCGAAGAAGAGTTGACAGAATTTCCATTCTTGAGGGTCTCGCTTCTCGATCTCCATTTTGCTGTGTTCTTTCTACACATCTCTGGCAGTAAATGGCATATTTTCCAAATTCCGTCCTGTAATGAAAAAACTTAAGGTATAAGAATAAATTTAATTAAAGCAATCTGATACACAACCACTAAGAAAGCTTCCTTTGCTGTTTATCATAATGTATTATATGCTAGCTTTCACAATTATTTTTCCTGTTGAGTGATGATATTCAACTGCTATAACTTTAATCAGAGTCCAGTTTCTTTAATTTTGCAACTGACTCAAATATTCCTATAGAAATGCTATTTATCTTTCTGTATTGTCATAATCACAAACTGAATTTTAAATTACCAGTACTAATATAGCCAATGTGTCGTCATTATGTTAACAAACAGAAAGAAAACAATTGTACGAAGATTATAGGGCAACAAAAAATATATGGCAGGCTTCTCCTTCTTTGTGTGTGTGTGGTGCTGAGCACGGAACCCCAGACCTCAGGAATGTCTGGCAAGCACTCTCTATCTCTAAGCCACACCCCCAAGCCTCCCAGAATTCTCCTTTGAAGAGCATGAGGTTAACGTTTCATTGTTAAATAAGAAAATGACTTCTTACAAAAAATAAAGTCGATTTTCCTTCTTTATATGTACTTGCTAACATTAAGCAAAACCCCACAAGAAATGTACAAGAATGATTGAGGGTTTATTTGTTCTCATTTGCATATAGCATAAAATTATATGTAGTGTTCATTTTGTTCATAGAAAGTAACACTTCTAAATATATTTATATTCAATTGCTTTCCAGACAAACCCAACGGTGTCACCCTTTATCAGGGTCTCCTTAGTGACTGCCACCGTAGTCACATGGCCTTGATGATAGGTTGTCTAGAATGTAGTATGAACTGCAGGGGGTTTTCCTATCGCTCCAAGTTGCTTTCTGCTTTACTGTGCATATTAATTTGTGCTAGTTATATAGTCTATTTTAGCACCCTAGCATGAACCTTCTGAACTGGCAGTACACTTCAGCTGGTAGAGCAGTCACCTAGCATGCACAAGCAGGTCTGATCCCCAGCACCACAAAAATAAACAAACAAAAAATACCTACCATGAAACTCTGGGATGACAAAATGAACCTACGTAAGCCTTGGCCAACTGCCCTAAGTACCAGTCTAAGGAAACCATTCTGATAACTGGATTTTAAGTATCTTTTTCAAGGAGTAAAAATTGGAAGCAATTCAAATACAAATTATAAAAGGAAGGAAGAGCATGGGGGAAGACTTTCATACAGAAGAATTCAATGTGGAGAAAAACAGTAAAGTGAAATAGCTGTTTTTATTGACGGGGCCCCCACCAATGCCAAGTCATTGATATTTGAGACATACATAGGCTGAAAAAAATGTCCTCAGATATTCAAGCTTTCACTGAGATCTTGCATAAGAGATTTGACATAACAAAAGAAATATTTTCCAGGTTCTACATGAATGACAAAAAACTTCCTGTCCCGATATTTGGTTCACCCATTCTTCAGAAAATGTACCTGGCAGGTTATTAAATACTTAGGATTTATTGCAGACTTTCAGGGCCACATAAATGGTTCAGCTGGATAGTGTTCTGCACACCTGGAATCTGCATTCCTCTTTAGATGGAGCTGGAGGAGCCACAGGAATGGATGATGGGGAAGGAAGAGCCCAACACAGAGTGCCAAGAGCTGCCAGCCCTGGGTAAAGAGAAGGACCGTTCATCAGTGACCATGCCAGTCTCATAGCTACCTCAGAGCCTGACAGAAGGTGGGAGAGCAACAGGCTTCTTCCACATAATCTTTTCGGAGTATTTATATTACATTAAAAGCATCATCCACTAGTTGTATCCAAAGCACTTGGAGGTTTGGCAGTTCTTTTTGACATCACTCTCTTTTTTTTCTTTATGTTTTTACTCATTCACTGAAATAAAACTTTGAGAAAGGCAGATTGCACAATAGTGAAAAAAATGTATACTCAAAACCCCACTTACTCACATAGCCACACATACATAAAAGCAAAGCACAAAATTATTGACAGACATCTATTTAAGTAACAGGACTGTATATGATTCACCTTTTCCGTTGCTCTTTTATATGCATTTTTAGGTACGTATTTTTCTGTATTTTTCTTCATAACATCAGTAAGTAAAAAAATCTTACTTTAAAAAAGGTGGAAGGGACAGGTCTTGTCCTTAGCATTGAGAAGCCTAGTTTAGTAGAAAAAGTTTATATACATGAACAGTAAGTTATAATAAATTATAATAATAGCATAACAATTTTTCTGATAGGGTCTCCATAGTTCCAGCCTGCTGGGAAGTCACTATGTGGACCAAGCTGGTCTCAATCTCACAGAGATCTGCCTGTCTCTGCCTCCCCAGGGCTGGGATTAAAGGTGCATGCCACCACACCCAGCATGAATTAATTTTTTATACCAATGTAGGTGATAGCTGAGGGAGCCAAGGAAGGATTGACTAGGAAAATGTAGCTTGGGCTGGACTATAAAGTATAAGATTCTAAGGGAAGAAGGGGGAATGTGAGTAAGAAGGACAGGCCGGGTTGAGGTAGAGAATTCTGCGAAGCGTGGTATGTTAGGAGATGGGGAGGGTTCACCCATTCGGTGCTGGAAGCAGGGCATAGAGGGAAGTCCCGGGGATCAGAATCTGCACTTTAGCCTCAGAACCCGTCTCTTTCATAAGACCCTTTCAAGGCATTGCAAAGGGCCCAAATAAACCGGGCTGCAATGTCCATATGTGTCTTAACATATGCAAAAGTAAACTATTTTGTAGTTTTTTTTTTCTTCTTTTTTGAGACAGGGTCTCACTATGTAGACCAGACTGGTCTCGAATTCACAGAGATCTGACTGCCTCTGCTTCCTGAGTGTTGGGATTAAAGGCATGCACCCCTATGCCCTGCCTGTACCCTTTTTCTTAAATGAGTTTTCCAGATTGGGTAGGCCTTCCAGTCTCTAGAAAACTTGGATCCAATCCTGAAAGTCCTGTGCATTAGGTCACAGCATCCTAAACTGTGGGTTGCCTCACTAAATTGAGGGGTTACAAAAAAACTTGGCAACAGTAAGAGATTTCTGAATACACAAAAAACAAAAATGGATTCAAAACCAAACATGTAATGAATCTGGCAGCCAGCATCTGTGTCTCAACACATGTCTCTCCTGCAGCCTTGTATCTGAACACACACCATGTGCACTCTGCACTGGAAATGCCATCCCACCAAGCAAAGCCAATAGATGTAGCCTGAAATACCTCAGCTCAGATTCAAGACTATTGTGTGCTATAAATTGCAGAGTTTTTACTGTAGACAAAAAGTTTCCTGCTCCTATAGAAACAATGGTTTAATTATGGAAAACCAAGATTTTTAATACTTTCCTATTATCATTTCTCAGACTATAAATACTGAATTAGTATATCTTTGGATTGTATTGTGTTAGAATGTTTGGTTATAAAAATTGCCGTTAGAGTTGCTTCCTGGAGTTTCATAAAAAGTCACTAAATGAAGACAGACATGGTGAACCACACCTTTAAATCCAGCATGGAGGTGGGGTGGAGTGGGCAGAGACAGGTGAATCTCTGTGAGTTAGAGGCTAGCCTGGTCTACATGGTGAGTTCCAGGGCTACACATAGTGAGACCTTGTCTCAAAAAAAAAAAAGAAAAAAAAAAAGAGTTTGAAATGCCCCTAAAAGCAGTGACAATTATAAAATTTTAAAAATTAACTCTGAAAAATGTTGAAGATGTTCTATACTCTGCAGTATCAAATATTCAGCTAAAATTTCATTCATTTTAATTTATTCTTTGAAGATTTATTTATGTAAAAATAAACAAGCACAGGCACCTTAGTAGTACACAAATTTGTTTTTGTCTTTAATAAATGGCAAGATTACATAAATACCAAAGAATTGTTTTAAAATACATTTCTTTGTGATTTATATCAGTAAATGTTTGATTCGCATATCTATTTTACTTACCCACTTACGTGGATTTGTGTAAAAATTTCTTAGGTGAAAAGGAGTTGTAGTGGGAAAAGTTTAAGAAGCCCTGCACTAGGATAAGGAATTTTTGTTTTGCTTTGTGGTTATCAGGAGTCAATAGATTAAAAACAGGTACTCATTAAAGAGTACAGATGAGGGGCTGGAGGGCTGGCTCAGCGGTTAAGAGCACTGATTGCTCTTGCAGAGGACCTGGGTTCAATTCCCAGCACCCACGTGGAGGCTACAAACTGTCCTTAACTCCAGTTCCAGGGGAATCTGAAGCCCTCTTCTGACCTCCATGGCATTGCATGACACAGGTGCACTCACTTACATGCAGGCAATACACTCATACACATGGAATAAAAATAATGAATAAAATATTTTTACAAAAAGTACAGATGAGTACAGATCATCTGAAAAAAGTTCAGCTGGACTAAGAATTAAAGAAATACACCCACTACATTCATAGTGAAATACTAGGTGGTTTTTTTTTTTTCTGAAAAGAATTTAAAGGAATATTGTTGAAGATACAGGGCAAGTCTGGAAACAGAACGAAAGGACTTCACTGAACATGTACACAAGATTTAATTTATAAAATGCCACTGGAGAGTTATTTATTTTAGAAAAAATAATCATAAAAACCTAAATGTATTGTAACTCACATTAATGTGACCATTGATTCTTATTTATTTATTTTTTATTTTATGTATATGAGAGTTTTGCTTGCCTGTGTAAGTACACCATGTGTGTGCAATGCCTATGGAGGCCAGAAGAAGGCGTCATAGCCCATGGAAGTGGAGTTATGACTGGTTGTTAGCCATTATTCTTCTGAGAACTGAACCCGGGTCCTCTGCAAGAGCAGTAAGTGCTCTTAACCACTGAGTCATCTCTCCAGCCCCATGACCATTACTCTTTGTTTGTTTGTTTGTTTGTTTGCTTATTTGCTTGTTTTTGGTCTTTTTGAGACAGGGTCTGCCTGTAGCCCCAGCTGTCCTGGAACTCACTATGTAGACCAGGCTGGCCTTGAACTCACAGAGATCCACCTGCCTCTGCCTCCCGAGTGCTGGAATTAAAGGCGTGCACCACCACGCCAGGCCAACCATTAAGTTTTTAAGAATGTTTAATGATATGGGAGAAGTGATTATGTTCTATGGTTTAAAAAAGGTAATATGGGGGTTGAAGAGATGATTCAGCAGTTAAGAGCACTTGCTGCTCTTGCAGAGGACCTGGGTTCAGTTCCCAGCACCCATGTGGCAGCTCAAAACCATCCATAACTTCACCTCCAGGGGATCAGGCCAACGTGGGCACCAGACATGCATGTGGTATACATACATGCATGCAGGCAAACACTCATATATATGAACTAAAAATAAATTATTAAATTAAAAGGGAATATGTACACTGTAATTTTGGTAGTATGAAAAACTGTGGGTGTGCATAAACTTATATACACATGTATAGTTATATACAAATATATAGATATACAAATAAACCAAAAGGATATACATCAAAATATCAATAGATACTTTTCCACTCATTTTTTTGTATTTTCATATGTCTATACTGAATGTGTATCATTCTTACCATCAGAAGACATCATTTTTTAAATTGCATGTACATATATCAATATATACCTGCAATGGTCCTGGCTGATTCTGTGGCTGTCTTCGTCTTGTCTGTTTAATAAGCTGACAGCAAATTTCATTCTGTAGCTCAGGATGTGTTAGACAGACCTGCAAAGCACTCTGAGCTAGAGATATATGATAATCAATCGCAGGGGAGTCGACTGCGGCATTTATGAAAAGCTGGCAGGTCTGAATAAAAACAAATGATATACTCAGAGTGAGAAAGATGAGGTTCATTTTTCATAAATCATATTGATTCTATTCTTTAGTAATAGTTTTTGTTTAAAATGATGAAAAAATATGTCATAACTGTAGTCAAAAGAAATTTGGAAGGGCTGAAGAGACAGCTCAGCAGTTAAGAGCACTGGCTGCTCTTACAGAGGACCTGGGTTAAGTTCCCAGCATCCACACAGTGGCTAACAATTGTCCATGATTCCAGGTCCAGGGGATCTGACGCCCTCTGCCAGTCTCCCCAGGTATTGCATGCACAGGTGCACTTACATACATGCAGGCAAAACACTCATACACATAAAACAAAAATAAATAAATAAAGGAAATCTGGAGTGGCTACAGTAATGGCAGACCAGGTAGATTTCAGAGCAAGGAGTTTTGCCAGAGGTAAAGGTCATTTTATAATGGTAAAGGGGTCACTCCATCTGGGGTCATAACAATCAGACACATACATGTTCTTAAATAAGAGAGGTTTAAAACACATGCTAATCTCTATCATTCATTTTAGCCATCACATTTTGAACTCTAAAGTTCATTTTGGATCTTTTTGATACCTTCCATTGCCCTTCTTAAAATGTACTTCTTTTCCTCTGCCTTCTTGATTACATAAATGTGCTCCCAATGAACTATTAACCTACTTGTTCTTCAACAGAGACTTCAAGAGTTTGGGGGGTGGTCCTAGCTCAGCAACAGAGCACTTGTTTTAATAGATTTTCTTCTTCATCATCATCATAGTTTCAATTTTCTTGGAAAGATTAAAACTTTATAACTAATTATTATTTCAATTCAACTAAATGACTAGCCCACATATAATAATTTTACCTTAAATAGCTTTATAGCTTCTGTCTGCAGAGCTTCAGAAGGCAGCGTGGTGAGAGGGGACAGGATCCCTTCTTTGCTGTGACACAAAGTGGGGTGTCTCCATATCTGGGAGGCTAAAGACAGAAGAGCATAGGAACAGAGTGAGATGGTTCAGTCGTTTACGCCTTCCATTAGCCTGGCCCTTTAGAATGGAACTTATTCAGGGCTGGCATACAATGTCCATCCCAAGGGGCAGGAAAAACCTCTGGCAACACTGTTTTATTCCAGTCCTCAGGCCATTGCAAGTCTCATGTTTCTGTTCTGGATGATGTGAATGCAGAGGAACCGAGTCCCAATCTACCAGCTGCAATAAGCCTACCATGTCACTACCATGTTGCTTAAATATGCCAATAGGTAGTGACCTGGATAGGAAGATGACTTTAAAGAGAAGGGTCTGGGGAAAGATCTAGAGAGAAGCCAAAGAGGAGGTAGTATGAAGGAACATGATGTCATTCCTGAACAGAACATTTATTAAGCGCCTACACTGTGGCTGGTACCTAGCTCAGTGGCAGAATTCTTGCTGAGCACGTGCAAGGCTCTGGGTTACATCCCTAGCACTGCTTAATTACTGGATACTCAAATAAAATAATGGTTTCTGTAAGTATGTAAACACAATAGAATCTAAAATCTCAGTGGAAAACCTTATGTGATAGCTAATCTTGATTCTCAACTTGACAAGATCTAGAATTACCTAGGAAACACTCCTCTGGGCAACTCTATGAGGGCACCTCCAGAGAGGTTTAATAAAGAGAAGACCCACCCTGAGTGTGGGCCTGGCTATTACATAGGCAGAGTCCTGGCCTGAGTAAGAAGAGAGTGGAGCAGAGCTTTCATTTCTCTGCTTCCTGAATGCGGACTCCTGCCACCATGCCTTTCCCACATCATGGAGTGGCCCAGATAAAATCTTCCTTCCTTAAGCAGCTTCTCGTCAAAGTAGTTGTTCACAGCAAGAAGACACGTACTTATAGCATAGCAATAAAAAGATTAATGTCAATGTAAAGCTACAAATGCTATAAGAGGGTTAAGTGGGGAAGTGCGCTGAGACTTAATTTCATGCACTGAGGGCTGGCGGGATAGCGTGGCGGTTAAAAGCTAAGGCTAACAACCAAAACATTAATTTCATCACTGATTAAGTACTTTTGGAAGCCAAATGCTGTGCTGGAGTGGGCTGGCTGAGGGATGTCCTAAAGCTAGCCAGGATTTCACTGTGAGAGGTACCAAGGCAGGAAGCATTCCAAGCAAAGGGAGTAAGTAAGCAGAGGCAGAGGGAGTGAGGGGACATAACACATGAAGAATGCTGGTGTTCCTGGAGCCCAAGGATTCTGGCTCATGACAGGTAAAGCCAGGTCAAGTGGCACTTAGAGGGAAAGAGTAACTCATGTGGTGAGAACCGCGTTAGGCTAAGGGGTTTGGGGACCATTTCATGAACTAAGACTATGTGCTTAGGAACTTACAAGGCTCCCCTTCTATATTTAGTAGTTTGCAAACCAGCTGTTCAAATTCAGATCCAACATTTACATTGTTACTTCCAGCTGCAACTGTGAGATGATAAAGCCAGGTGTCCTTCAAAGGAGAAAACAATAGGAATGTTAGCCAAGACGTCCTTTTGATGCTAAGGGAAACAACCTGCAAAAACAGTAGAGAATCCTAAGACAGAAAAGAAACCACTCGCTATAAGTTTTCATTTTTTGCTTTGATGTGTGCGTGTGTGTGTGTGTGTCTGTCTGTCTGTCTGTCTGCCTGCCTATCTGTGTGTTTGTGTATGTGCATGCATAAGTGTACCGTGGTGTGCATGCGGAGGTCTGAAGACAATTCGAAGGAGTCAGTTCTTTCCTTCTATCGTGTGGGTCCCAGGGATAGAACTCAGATCTTTGCTGGCAAGTGTCTTTACCCTCTGAACCGTCTCACGGACCTCTTTAATTTTTAAATAACTAGCAACCATTTAGTCAAACCTCTGAGGAGTGCTTGCTCTCTTGAAATGTGCTCAGACTACCCTTTTCTTTTTTTATTTTCTGGACATGCTTCAGATAAACCAGATTTATAAATATA